CCATTTAGGGTTTATATAGGGATTAGATAGGGATTACATAGGGGATATATTGGGATAATGGAAAAGAAAATGGAAACTACTATTTAGGGTTTATATAGAGATTATATAGGGGATATATTGGGATAATGGAAAATAAAATGGAAACTATTATAGTAACTATGTTGGGGTCATATTGGGATAATGGGAAAATTTACAGCGTCAATCACAGAACGACTTTTATCAGATCTGCTCAGCAAAAGCTTGGACAGTGCTTCTTCGCATTCACGGTGAATAGTGCTTCATGCGTTGGGCTGCTGTTGTTCCCTAAACCCTAAACCCTAAACCGTGTAGCAATGTGTCAAAGCGCCTTGTACTTCGCTATCGCTGAACACCTCAGACACCACCACGAAGCCATGCTCCTGAAGGCTCCACGGGTTGGCATCAGTCTTAGAAGGACCCACCCAGTAATAGCGACTATAAGGCATAATGGTTTAGGGTTTAGGGTTTAGGTTTTAGGGTTTAGGTTTTAGGGTTTAGGGTTTAGGGTGTAGGGTTTAGGTTTTAGGGTTTAGGGATTAGGGTTTAGGTGATTAGGGTCCCCATATATTATACTACTAATACAGGGTGGGGGGTCCACCTAAATTATCACACAGGTTGAGGGCTGCTGACACTACCTGAATTGCCGACAGCCCAGCGGCACAGTGTCTCAAACAATCTAGCACGACTTCCCTGCCCATGATCTGCCATATGCATCTCAACCCTACGTGCATTTGACAGAATTCAACCCTAGACTTGTCGTCCTTGAAGTGAGCGCAGATGTCGCTGTCATTCCCGAATGGTATGGCAGACTGCAAGAAACGCACCGCTTGGGGGCTTAGGGCTTAGGCTCAGTCTCTTGCTGGGCACGGGACTGACATCCAAACATGACTCGTCTGGTCTGTCTCTCGCTAGAACTGGAACACCGTCATCACAGAGCAACGCTCGGTTGCTTGAAACGAAGCTCACATGTCTCTCTCAGCAAATCGGCCTCGACACATGGCAGCGAAACCTTGTGGCTCATCAGGCACGGCAGAAGGCACCCGAAGCGGAGTCTTGGCGTGCTCTATGTGACAGCTGATGCTGGCTTAGGCTCTCAAGGAATGCTGCTGGGCTTTGGGGCTTGCGAGGGAAACTGCGAGCAGAAGCCTGGCGAGCCTAAGCATTACCAGAAGCCAGATGACTGCCTACTATAATAATATTATACAGCAGCAATATACTAAAATGACATACTATGATCATATACTTTAAAAATATACTTACAAACATAATATGTTGAAACCATATACTGAAATACCATTATAAGATACTTTATGAATATACTACGATAATATACTATAACAATATACTTACAAACATAATATGTTGAAACCATATACTATAATACTATTATAATATACTCTACTAATATACTACAAGAATATACCTGGTGGCATGGGAAGCACAGGCAGCAGATTCTGACTTTGAAAGCCCTTCATCGGTTCTCCCAGTGATAGGAGGTTTAGGGTTAGGGTTTAGGGTTTAGGGCTTAGGGTTCAGGGTTTAGGGGCTTAGGGCTTAGGGTTTAGGGTTTAGGGCTTAGGGGTTAGGGCTTAGTTTTTTGTTTAGGGTTTAGGGTTTAGGGCTCAGGGTTTAGGGCTTAGGGTTTAGGGTTTAGGGGACAGTCCAGTACAACGCTTAGGCAAGCAGGTTCGGGCGCGAGGATAAACATCCCAAAGTAGATGAAAGGATTAAGAGTCGCCACTCTTTGTTGCATCACAAAGGTAGGGATGTAGCAGGATGTAGATGGGATGTGCCTGCACATCTCTTCGCAAATTCTTCCCCTGCTACAATATATTCACTATGATATTCTAGTACTTTCATCTCATTTTCCATTATCCCAATGTAGCCCCAATATAATCCTAACATTATCCCAATGCGTACCTATATTCCATGTCTAAGGTACTGATGGTACGGCTCTGTGACCCGCTCCGGTGCATTAGGTTGGCATCCTGCGTTCCCACTTCCTGGGGAACATATTGGGGTTATGTTGGGACTATAAGGGTTTAGGGTTTAGGGTTATAGGGGCTATATAGAGGTTATATAGGGGTTATATTGGGATTCTATTGGGATAATACTATTTACGGTTTAGGGCTTAGGGTCGTCCTGGCTGACAATACACATACACACATTTTGAAGCATAGGTCTCGTACAGATACCATTAGGGAAGGTGGCCAGGAAACCCCCAACAACGAGCAAGGAATAAAACTACGGTGGCATGGCACAAATTCGTTGCCAAATCTTCCCGCAAACCCTTATGGCCCAAACCCTAAAAACTAAACCCTATACATATATAGAGATATATATATATATGTATTTCTATGTCTATACATACTTCCTTATTCCCTACCGCCAGTAAGCACAAATTACCATGCTCTGTCCATGAGCTGGGCTTTAGATAGCGAGGATCCTTGTAGTAGTCTCTATATAACTCATCATACTAGTTTCCGGTGTTTCTTATCCATTCCTAAACCCTAAACCCTATAAAATCCCACTATACTACCCATTATAGTAGCTTCCATAATATTTTCCATTCCTCCATTCCCAGC